ACAAGTACAACATGTCATCTTGTTAAATCTTTATCGTTTATCGTTTATCTTTGTCACCAATCAATTGAAAGTACTCAGACTCATTTATTTCTGTTTTTCTCGATTTTTTTTCTTTTCTTGGCCTTGTTTACAAACATGAAATATATTCCCCATTTACACTTCCCAATCGCTGTAAAGCATACATTCCTTTTTAGTGATATTTTAAATATATATATATATATATATATCAACAATCAAGCAGGCGTGATGAATGAAAACTTATCATTCAAGCTTGAACAAATTTGAAATATAGTTGTTGATTGAAAGTTGTCATAAATAAAATAAATCAATCGGAAAAAAAAGTTTAATTCAAATGTTCCACTTTCACGTTATCATAAATTTTCCGTTTTCTTTGATTTCGTATCGTCCACTCAGATATCCAATTTGCTGCGTTAAATGACATTCCTTTATCACGATCTCAATCAAGAAAGTACATAAAAATATACATTTATTGCAGAGAAAATTGGGGCATCAGACCACATGAGTGATCATTAAATAATCACGACTTCATTCTTGTGAGACTAAAGTTTGATTTACCGTATCTTTGAAACATTACAGAGTCTAATAGGATTTTTCCTAGGCCCTTAAACAATTCATAAAAGAAATTTTACACTTTTCTTATACTGTGGGACTGCTTTTGCAAGTGTGTGGGTCTCCCTGAAAGAGGGTAGTGTTATACATGTACATGGAGCATATCTTCTATGTTATGAACATGCTACAGTGTGCTTATCAGATTTAAGGTAGACTAGCTGTCCCAACACTCCAACCAAGGAGGTCTAAAGTTTCAAATTATCGGGTATTCTTCTGAATTTACGATTCTTACTCATTTACCACATAAAAGAATTAAATACAAATAAAATAGATTGAATGTAACTTGAAAATTAAATAAAAACGATGCTGCCTTCTGAGGTTTCATGGGAAATGATGGATTACTGAGCAGGGAGCTTTTCCACCACGATTTGACCAGTAGTGATATTTATTATATGTTATAACTCTCCTGCAACATTACTGGGAATAATATTTCAAATATTCTTACTCAATCTTCTAATCCCATGAAATTACTTGGAATAATAATTAATTCAAATATTCTTACTCAATCTTCTAATCCCATGAAATTACTTGGAATAGTAATTAATTCAAATATTCTTACTCAATCTTCTAACCCCATGAAATAACTTGGAATAATAAATAATTCAAATATTCTTACTCAATCTTCTAATCCCATGAAAATTAGGTCTGTATATAATCTATGATTGTCTTTGAATATACAGGAATTAACAAAAATCTAACAAGAAAATAACTTATCAGGTCAGTTAAAAAGAAAAGTGACTGGACTCTCTACCTTAACGACTATAAAACTGCAAAGTTAAAATGTAGGTCAGGTGTTAACATAAACAGGGAACTGTTTGTATACATAAAAGTTTACCAATACTGATATCAACTAGGACAGATAAACCTGAGTTACTGAAACATGATACAGAGAGTGAAACATGACTCGCGAAGTTAATATTACAGCTATATAATTATACAACCATAGTTAGGGTATTACCCTCTAAACTACAGTACTGGGAGATTGTCAGTTCTGACAGAGGCTGCTGGGAGATTTTCAGTCCTGAGAGAGACTGCTTGGATATGGTAATTAATATTAAGTCCTGAGAGAGAATGCTAGGAGATTGGCTGTCCTGAGAGGTTTCTGGGAGATTGTCAGTTCTGACAGAGGCTGCTGGGAGATTTTCAGTCCTGAGAGAGACTGCTTGGATATGGTTATTAATAGAAGTCCTGAGAGAGGCTGCTAGGAGATTGGCAGTCCTGAGAGAGGCTGTGCTAGGAGATTGGCAGTCCTGAGAGAGGATGCTAGGAGATTGGCAGTCCTGAGAGAGGCTGCTAGGAGATTGGCAGTCCTGAGAGAGGCTGTGCTAGGAGATTGGCAGTCCTGAGAGAGGATGCTAGGAGATTGGCTCTCCTGAGAGAGGCTGTGCTAGGAGATTGGCAGTCCTGAGAGAGGATGCTAGGAGATTGGCTGTCCTGCGAGAGGCTGCTAGGAGATTGGCAGTCCTGAGAGAGGCTGTGCTAGGAGATTGGCAGTCCTGAGAGAGGCTGTGCTAGGAGATTGGCAGTCCTGAGAGAGGATGCTAGGAGATTGGCTCTCCTGAGAGAGGCTGTGCTAGGAGATTGGCAGTCCTGAGAGAGGATGCTAGGAGATTGGCTGTCCTGCGAGAGGCTGCTAGGAGATTGGCAGTCCTGAGAGAGGCTGTGCTAGGAGATTGGCAGTCCTGAGAGAGGCTGTGCTAGGAGATTGGCAGTCCTGAGAGAGGATGCTAGGAGATTGGCTGTCATGAGAGAGGATGCTAGGAGATTGGCTGTCCTTAGAGAGGCTGCTAGGACACCTTACATGAGGAATGTACCTGTCTTTTGAGAATTTTTTGTCTTTAGGAAACACACCTGACTGGAGAGAATACCTGTGATGAGATTCACCTGTCCCTCATGATTACCACCTGTCATGATTACCACCTGTCTTGAGAGATCTGCTGCCTCTTAAAATCACATGTTTGGAGAAATCACCTACAACATGACTTGTGAACCCTATTGAGAGACACAGGGTCAAGTTGCTCCTAGCTGTCACAGAATAAATTGATTGATTGAGATTCACAACAGACCTAAACTGTAAAAACGCATTAATAACCAACAATTTTACACCTATCAAGCAGACATGTATATGATAGAGTAGAAAATATCCACTTACATATATGTATGTCAGTCAAATCTGTGCCAATTTTCTCAGCATTAAATGACCTTTAGAAAAGTAATCACTTCCATATGACCAGCTCTCATTGAATGTTCAAAGCATGATTAGTTTAAAATCATTTTTTTTTTTAATTAAATAAATCAAATTATCACATGTATGTATAGCGCTACAGTTTAGAAGATAAGTTTTAATCCCAAAACAACAACCACACAAAATTAATATTTGCATTTTTTTTAAGACATTCAAAATATTTAATTAAGTAATTGTTATTTCATGAATTTTAAGCTGATGATACTTTGAAAAAATAAAGGACCTGTGTGAATTGGGGCGGTCAGTGTTGAATACATTCCTACGATAATTGAGAGCTATATCTATAGAATGGACCGACAGAAGTCATTCTCAGGTTGATCGATGTTCGGAAATTTCATATGGCATTTAACTTATTAATAACCGGAAGGTCCATGTAACCTGTGAGCTCGAAAGTCTTGTCAATTAAAAGAATAAACAGGTCACACACAAATGTCAGACTCGTGTGAAAAATGGCTGTAGCTTGATTGATTGGTGGTGATTATCAAAATAATGACTTGAACAAATTTGAATTTGTTTTTGTGTATATCACTAGCACTGGCGAGGACTTTTGACCACACTAAGCTCAATATGTTACTATCCTACAGTTTTATGTCCCAGTTGTAAAGATACAGTGTGAAAATCTGTAGTCGAGCCCATTTCTAATCCTAGGGCTAATCCAGGCCATTATACCCCTCGGCTATATGTCAATGTTGTTGCGCTATTATTGTAATTATTGTTTAAATAATGAAAATTAACATACAATTTAAACATTGAAACAATTATGAATCATTTAATTCTTTTTCACACCTAAAACCGTAAATAAAACCTTGAGAAATATTTGAAACAGGACATTCATCATAGAAGTGGTAGGAACCATTGTAGGCTATTTTCCGATGAATTCATACATTTTAAATTCAATATTTATGACTTTGGAAGAGAGCCTAGTAAGTTGTTAGATCTTGTGCCCAATCCCTTTGACTGTTTAATATTAGGCAATAACATATGTTTGAATGAATAGTTATGACTGATAAAAAAAAATAAAAAAAATCCCTGAATATTGAACTAACTTAGACATTCAATGTAAATTTAGCATTCTAGGGTATCTACTGAAGTTCATGATAATGAAAATAAATGTGTATCAAAAAATTCGGAAAATCAGAAATCTTTCTTTATAATTAATTTTACTGTATTGTATACTGAAACCAACTTTACTTACCTCAAAAATCGTGAGAATAGTCCCTATTTCCAATCTGAAAGTCAAAATAAACACTTTTTTGTAGGTAAATCCAACTTGGAGAGGTGTTTGTAGAACCGGATGGGAAGATATTAACACTATATATATAAATGCACACTGTTATCCTTCGGGTACAGAAATCAGCTCAAGTAAAGCCAACAAGAATTATAAATTAAACTCTGCTGAATAAAAGTAATTTATAAAAATTTCATCTTGGTCAAACACAGCAAAAGGATAACATCTCCCCAATGTTCAGTAATCCACAATTTCCCCTTTTTTCTGAAAAAGATATTTCTGTAAAAATAGCACTATGATCGGCCATACAGCACTAGAGTGTAAAATATCCCCAATAAATGAAATAGCACGTGGTTGGTCATACAACACTAGAGTGTAAAATATCTTGTACTAGTCGGTACTTAGTCCTATTGGTATTAGTATAAATGTAATACTACCAGCTAATATACATGTAGTCTTAATATATTATAACCACTAGGAGAGACCTGTGACCATTGTTAAAAAGCCTAGTTAGCTTTACCTACATAAACCCAATTTCTTTTTATAGCAAACTTTCTTAAATATAACAATATATTCAAAAAATAGAAATAAGATCTAGTTTAGGGATTAAACCTATCATGTCAGCTCATGACTTTTTTGAAGATGGATTTGGAATAAAACAAAAATTCCAAAAATGTTTATGATATATTAAGCTGATAAATTTTGAATAATTTTGTCTGGTCAGAAGGCATGTTGAGTCCTGAGTATAACAGGGTAGGTGTGGACACAGGCTGATTAAAAATGTCAAACATTGAAAGTTTGGTCAGCTTAACGCTGTTTTATTTGATACTTTTAAGATAATGTTGCTATTTAATATCATTTTTTTTTTTTCATGGTTTCAGCAAATTTTTAATATCAATGCCACCAACGCTTGGTAAAAGTCAAGATTTTTTCAATTTAAACAATTGAAAAAATCTCGACTTTGAAAAACTTCATTTTTTTTCAAATTTTCAAGTTGAATAGTCGTTTCACGCCTACACTCTACACTGTAATACACCTAATTAACATGGGTGGACAAATGGCCGGAGGCCTGAGAAAATACTGAGTAATTAAGTGGACATAACAGACTTAATCAGTAAATATTACACACAACACTGTGTTTCCAATCCCAACAATTCACACTCTACTTGTCCTCCGCGATCAATATTTTTGTCGGTTTTTGAATGGCGATTTTACAAACGTACGTCACTTTAATTCAGGAAGCAAAAGTGTGCAGACTTCTCTTATGGTGTTTGGTAGTTCAGACCAGTGAATTTGACCTTTTCATTTCTTATTTTGCCAACACTGTATGCTGCTTTATCAATATATTTATAAATACAAAACACTATGTACCAGTACGATTCATTTTATTTCTCATTAAAACAAAATATGTATCAGTAAAATTACCAGGTTGAATTCTGGTTTCTCCGACCACATAACTAAGAACTTGTACGTACTGTACAGTGTATACTATGACCATTTCATTTCAATTTTCCTGACACCATGTACCAGTAAACATGAACATCTTAAAATCTAATTGTTCAAACTAACCGGGCCAGATCACGATGGTGTCCCTGGTACCGCTGAGCTAACCGGGCCAGATCATGATGGTGTCGCTGGTACCGCTGTGCTGACCAGGCCAGATCACGATGGTGTCCCTGGTACCACTGTGCTTACCGGGCCAAATCACGATGGTGTCGCTGGTACCGCTGTGCTGACCGGGCCAGATCAGGATGGTGTCGCTGGTACCGCTGTGCTGACCAGGCCAGATCACGATGGTGTCCCTGGTACCGCTGAGCTAACCGGGCCAGATCACGATGGTGTCGCTGGTACCGCTGAGCTAACCGGGCCAGATCATGATGGTGTCTCTGGTACCGCTGTGCTAACCGGGCCACATCACGATGGTGTCGCTGGTACCGCTGGTCTAACCGGGCCAGATCACGATGGTGTCGCTGGTACCGCTGTGCTGACCTGGCCAGATCATGATGGTGTCGCTGGTACCGTTGAGCTAACCGGGCCAGATCATGATGGTGTCGCTGGTACCGCTGACCTAACCAGGCCAGATCATGATGGTGTCGCTGGTACCGCTGTGCTGACCGGGCCAGATCATGATGATGTCGCTGGTACCGCTAAGCTAACCGGGCCAGATCATGATAGTGTCACTGGTACCGCTAATCTAACCGGGCCAGATCATGATGGAGTTGCTGGTATCGCTGTGCTAACCGGGCCAGATCATGATGGTGTCACTGGTACCGCTGTGCTAACCGGGCCAGATCATGATGGTGTCGCTTGTACCGCTGTGCTAACTGGGCCAGATCATGATGGTGTCGCTGGTACCGCTGTGCTAACCGGGCCAGATCATGATGGTGTCGCTGGTACCGCTGTGCTAACCGGGCCAGATCATGATGGTGTCGCTAGTACCGCTGTGCTTACCGGGCCAGATCATGATGGTGTCGCTGGTACCGCTGTGCTAACCGGGCCAGATCATGATGGTGTCGCTTGTACCGCTGAGCTAACCGGAACCAAACCAACCAAGAAAGGCAGACCACATAAGAAGAAAAAAACATCAATTTCATCCATCAATCCCAGTGATGCCGAGTCTTCCCAACCGACAAATGACCAGTTGGTATATTTTCAGGGAAAGCCAGGAAGTTGAATTAGCGGAGTTTTATCGCGAAAAACTGAACTCTTTTATAATAAGAAGTTGAAATCATATAAAGATGTCGCAGTCCTTGAAGACACCACCATCTGAGCAACTACCATTTACCCAAATGTCAACACACAGAAACTTGTATGCAGCATCAACTATTGCGAGGAGTATGATAGAGTAGAAACCCTTATAGTTGTAATAGAAAGAGCCTGAATTTCGTGGACATTTTATAGCTACATGCTTTCCGTCTATTGCACCAAGAGGGTTACGAAAGTTCCAGCTCGTTAAAAACTCTTCAGCCACCTCCTTCCAAGCCTCTTGGGTTTTTGGTGTCGGCATGACCTCTTCTGTGTACTCTTGTGCAATAGCCTCACATGTGTCGTAGACAATCGACCGTAGAGATGGTATAAGCAGCCACTCTAAAACCATATTGAAGTGATTGGTTAGGAGTCTCCAGTGGCCATATAACGCCGTGTTATAGCTAGGTGAAGCCCAGGCTCTAGGGCTTTTCTCCAGAAGGTGTTCTTTTTTTCAATATGAGGTCCAACGCGTTCTACTAGTTCCATGAACATCTCCGGAGTGACACGCAAGAAGTTGGTAAATGTATTCACATCTTCACGATACAATTCTTGCATTAGGTGTTCACACTGCCATACAGAGGTCTCCTCAACAACCATGGTCGAACCCAGAATCTCTTCCTGTTCCTCACTCTGCGACGCCTACGCTGCCTCCTACCCCTCACCATCAAAGCCATAGCTACCAGAAGTACTTCCCCCTCCTCCGAAGCTGCTTCTTGCGGGTCTTGTTCGTTGTTGAACATGGTGAAGACTGACGCAGAAATGCTATTGCAATGCAGCTTATATACTACATGACCCACGTGACCAAAATAAACAAAATGATGTCGTATGAAGGTCTGGCTCAGTCGTATGAAGGTCTGGCTCAGTCGTATGAAAGTCTGGCTCAGTCGTATGGAGATCATATTTATTTTTTGTAGTCGTATGGACATAGTAATGATTTGTGTTTAATCGTATTGCGGTCGTGTTGATTGGTGTTAAGTCGTATGGGCGTCGTATTACAGTCGTGTTTGGTCGTATGACAGTCATATTGGGGTCGTGTTAAATGAGGTTAAATCGTGTTGTATCGTATGAATATCTTATGACGGTCATATGAGTGTCGTATTCAGTCGTATGCGGGTCGTGTTTGGTTAAGAAATTTGCATAAACCACAAGGTCCAGCACGAATCAACACGATTTTTCAACTTTTCTTAAATCGTGTTTGCAATTTCTTAAAATCGTGTATGTGAGATAGGGGCCTTAAGGTTTCATAACCTTGGACCATTATTACGAGTTATAATTACAAAGGTTCCACCATGAAACACTGTGTTAAGTGGCATATCGTGTATGCTAACCCTATTCGTAAACCTCTTAGCTCTTGAAGTGATCTCCAGAACAGCCAGTGGCATAGAATTGATTAATCCTGCAAAGCTAATTTAATCATGTATTATTATTTATAGACGTCTAAATGTGCATGACCATTAAAGTCATTACCGTACACAATATCCCTGTACAATACAGTTTTCTAATATTATTTAATTTATGACTATTATTCGATAAAAATGGTTCTATGATGATTTCAGCAGCATATGTAACTATATACCAATTAACATCAGATAAGACAATTACAGGAACAATGTACTCCAGAGGGTTCTGATCTGGGTATAATGATATACATCAAATAAATCGATTTCGTGTTCATTTCCTGCAAAGCCTCAGTACAAAGGGACGCACATTTTAACAGGAGGCCCAACCGCCTTATAGCGGTCACCTGAGTTATATCATAGGTACTGGTAGCTTTATTTTTATTGTTTAGATGTGATGTGGAAATCAGCATGTAAACTAAGTGAAATACAATACTTGTCATGTCATCAAAGGATAAGAATTTTAAAATATTGGTAAATGTTCCCCTTGGGGCCACGCCCTAACCCCTGGGGATATGGCACAGGAATTAACTTTAACTTTAACTTTACCCCCTCCCACAGGGAGAAGGGATGGCACGGGGGTCCTAAAATTTACAATTTCAATAAAGCCCCTGATGATCTTTCCATCCATGCATAGAAAATGACTGTAGTACCTCTGAGTCTGGAGAGGAAGTTTTTTGAAATATTGGTTAATTTTCCCTTTGGGGCCCCGCCCTGGACCCTAGGGTTTGGGTAGGAATTCCAATTTCACAATTTTGTAGCCTCATCTACCAAGGATTATTATTCTGACTGAGTTTGAAAATATTCCATCCACTGGTTCTAGAGAAGTTGAAAATGTAAAAAGTTTACGCACGGCGGACGGCGACGGAAAGTGATCGAAATAGGTCACTTGAGCAAAGCTCTGGTGACCTAAAACAAATGCTTTACATAACATGATTAAGGCTTTTTAGGGGCTTATAGCTAGCCCTTGTTCTGAGAGGATTAATTCAGGAATTTATATCAAGAGTACAAACAATATATGCTGGGAACAAGTGCACTATCCACTTTGCCAAACAACCGTCCTAGATGTTTTATTTGTTTAGTAAAAAAGATATTGTTTTTAAGCTATAAGGGCTATATCCATTAAGATTTAAATATAAAATGCACATTCAGCATATACTAAATACTTATTTGTATGGAGTGGAATTATTTTTGCTTATGTATAAAGCAGTGTTTACGTGTAGATACCAATGCAAGCTAGAATAAGTTCCAAATACGTATAGCTACAGTGTTCGGCAGTGATACTCTTCATTATTTTTTCTCTCTGTACATGTATAAGTGTTTCTATCAAGGACACTTGTTATGGTGTTTTTAACAATCCTGATTTAATCAGCTGATGAACATTTCCCCTTTCTATCTGAAGTACTAGGATACGTACTGTAAAATCATTAATTTTCGTGGGGTTAAAATTTTGTGGTTTTCATATACAGCCTGTTTCAATGACATTATATTTCGATGATTTCTGATTTTCCCCCATCTATTTCAAACCAAAATATTTTTTTCATGGGGATTTAATTTCGTTGATTTTTGTTATCCACAAAATAAACAAAATTTAATGTCCCACGAAAATTTATGATTTTACAGTATGTTTCAGTAGATTTAATCAAAAGATTGTGATTAACAATGTGTGATAGAATTGATTAAACAAATTAATAAATTGATAGTGCTTTGTACTCTTGTTTCAGTTATAATTGAGCATACAGTACACTACATGATTAAAGGGAAGTAACTCCTCACATATTAATACAACTTTGTAAAATCTCTTAAGCAATGTCTCAGATTTGATGAAACATGCTTCAAATTAGTTATCTTGGTCATCTCTTCATTGTTATTGTTGCTGATATAAAGCAAGTTTAAATTTGAAGGGTTTTACTGGGGAACATTGATGATTGTTGAGAATTAAGGGGAACAATGTCAAGAATTATCAAAGTTTTTTCAAATTTCTTCCAGTGAAATCAAACTTAATTTTGTAAAGTGTTGTCATTTTTTTTTATTACAGCACTCCAACAGCATATATGCCTAATACAAATACCATTCTTTGGTTTTATTTCCCTGTTTTAGCTTTTTTTTTTTGCCTGAGGCTAAAGTGTGATTAAAACAAAAGTGAAAGTAATATGGAATCAATTGATTTATACATGTACATCTGTTGCTTTATATGCATGTTATGTTCCACTGTTCAGTAAATGTTTTCAAATTCACGTCTTCACAATGAAAGACATTTCTATATAACATCATGTGGAACACAATTCACTTTATCCTTTTGACCTTATAATATTTCGACTATTGATTTCTTGAGAGACACAATTTCTAGAAGTAGGATTTAGATTTTGAGTTTGTGTGAGTTTGTACTTGAATGAGGGAGTTTCAAGAGAGATTGGTAAATTTTGGTCAAAACTAACAGCTATGGTACCCACGCTTATGTTGAGGAGGCCTAATAAGCTTCCACCTCTGCAGGTTCAGATACTGCTGTATCCACTGCATGCTATCACAGAAGGCGACCAATATAGGCCTTCTTTGGAATTGGGTTTTTTCTTCTGTTTCCTTTGCTAAGAGGACGTTGAGGAAACCAAAATTGATCTGCTGCCCCAAATACAGCACTCCGGATCTATATATTTTCTTCCCTCACTTCAATGCTCTTTCCTTTAGTCTGCGTCTCCCTAGGCATCAATCCTTAGCCCTTTCACCACTGTAGACCATAATGGAATCATCCAGATCAACGCATGGTAGAGCCTACTGAAGTTACATAGGGGTGAAAGGGTTAGCTGTTGCACCAAACACACAACTTTCATTTATCTTTTTCCGTTTTCATAAATCAAAAGCACATTAACAGGATTTAAAGATTTAAAGGATTTTGGCCATGAATTGTCATGGTTTCATATCTTTACAGTCATACGATACAATAATACGTGTGGTCACCGAGACCCTGTCTCTCTCGATACTCCGATGATGCACAGGCCAGGGCCCGTATTCATGAAAATGTTCTCAAACTCCAGAATGATTTCTGTGCTCAAACTGACTTTCTTGTAACTCACTTAAATCATGGTTACACGGTCAAAAAGTCTCTCTTGATCCTCGGATGATGGACAGGCCAGATGATGGCCCATCTATATCAGCCTGTATGTAGTTATGTCAAGTGTTCAATGAATAAAATCTGTGTAAATACAACAAGAGGCCCAGAGGGCCCGTATCGCTCACCTGAATATTTAGCAGTCATGGCAAAATATTCTCATTAAATATAATACTGTACTACAAACATTTCACTGGCAAACTTTGTCGGCTCCATCTGTTGAAACTACCGGTCAAATATTATTATATGATTCTATGCCTTTTGGTTCTTCTTCAGAAGTTTTTTGACATATTTTCCCCTTTGACCGTGTAAGTAGGTCAAGGTCATTTTCCTTCTCAAACTCTGTTGGCTCTTTCCCAAGAAGCCACCAGCCTAATCTTATGAATCCATTCCTTTTGGTTCTCCAGAAGTCGTTTGAAATGTTGTTGACCTCTGTGACCTTTAACGTAGGTTGTGGTCATTTCCATTTGCAAACTTTGGTGATCTTTATTCCAAGAAGCCACCAGCCAAATATTATGATTCTATACCTTTCGATTATTCATAAGAAGTTGTTTGATTTTTTTGACAAATTTGACCCCTGTGACCCTGAAAGTAGGTCAAGGTCATTTCCATTCTCAAACTTTGTCTGACTCTATCCCAGGAAGCAACCAGGCAAATATGAAGATTCCATACATTTCAGTTCTTCAGTAGAAGTCGTTTGAAAGGTTTGACATATTTAACCGCCGTGACCTTTAAAGTAGGTCAAGGTCAATTTCATTCTCAAAATTTGTATGGCTCTATCCTAGGAAGCCACCAACTAAATATGAAGATCTATACCTTTCAGTTCTTCAGAAGAAGTCATTTGAAGCGTTTGACATATTTGACCACTGTGACCTTAAAAGTAGGTCAAGGTCATTTTCGTTCTCAAACTTTATTTGGCTCCTACCAACAAAGCTTTCAGCCAAATATCATGACTCTAAGCCTGTCCGTTCTTCAGAAGAAGTTGTTTAAAGGAAAGGTTGACTGACAACGACAGAGGATTGATGGACGGACAGACCCCTTACGCTGCACCATGACATAAGCTTACTTGCTCGGTAATAACAGGTGAGCTAAAAATGTAATATATGCAAAAATGTATGTAGCCTGGTTTTACAAATGTCTGTTTTTAATAACAACAACAAGCAACAACATTCAAATCTGAAATTTCTTTTACTTATAGAAATTCAAATATGGCAGAAATGGACATGATACATACAAAAATAAATATGTACAAAATGTAATAAATACAAAACTACTTTGTTATAAGTGAACAGAAATATTTCTACTTGAAAACAAAATAAAACCCTGTCATCCCTTGGCACCTAAATAGGAAGCAACCAAAATGAACGAAAGGTTGGATCCATTGTCTACAGGGGGATGCAAGGCAGTGGATTTTTCATTTTCAGAGCTAACAAACAGTTAAACATACAGACTGTGTACTGTAAGTTCATAAGCACCATTTAATAGTATTTCTATAAATCTGTATAAACATAAACATCGCATTGTAGTATGTGTACATGGGCAAAGAAGAACAATTCTGTTTAAAAAAAAAATGCAAAGAAATAAATACTCAGCTTCCATTGGACATGAAACTCTCTACTTTATAGATTCAATGGGTATATAAGTTTTGCCATTTCATTTTCTAAATGCAAGCTATAGGTTTTTTCCGATTTTATTAAAATTCATTCTGTTCATTTCTCAGGTACTAAATAATCTTGTTATCAAAAGTCTGTAAGTTCTACTACATTTTAAAGAAATAAGAACAACAACTATTACTTCTCATTCATCTACTTCTAAAATGAGATGTACCATCAACTGGTTTGTAGGTGTTCCTGGGCATAAATGTTTCACTTTAATAAAATAAAAATAAAAGACCTCTGTTTCACTTTTAAAAATATGATAAAAAGATCTGTTTAACTTTTACAAATATAATTAAAATTTATGACCTATCCAACTCTGCTGGAGCAGGTATGATCCAAAGACTTGTATGTCAGAATTAAACTTCATAATTTTTCATTTTTTTCATTTTACCTTTATAATTTTCCAGTTATCTCCCTTTTTATATAGTTCAGGAGGCAGATATGTACTTTAAAATAAATCTCAGATAAAATTGAGTGTCCTGACCTTTTATAAAAATGATATTTGGATTAAATGTTTTATAGAGTTATGTTTTCATAATTGTGTTAAAAGGACTCTTAACTCCAACTTAAATAAAATCCAGTGAAATGCCCATTTAATAGAATTATCAAATTTTGGTTAAAACATTTCGACCTTATAATTGTTAGTTCTGTTTACTTTGGGTTTGCAATAAAATGCATTGTACAGTCCTAACTATTGATATAAATGCAATTAATACAGTCAAGTTTATAAAACAGGATTCAATTAAAACATGAATATACTTCTTTTGTAAAGTAATCCTAACTAGGCTACAAAAAATGTACCCATCAGCATTACGGTTGCTATTTTAAGGTCCAGGCTTAAAGTTCTCTAGTAATTAAAGCTCTCCTTCTTTGAGTGGATTCACCAACTTGACTAAAATGTTACTTTATAAAGTTTGAGGACATCAGGGGCCAGGATCTTGTGAACTTTAACTCATTCACCCCTACATATCTAAACTGGACTTGCCCAGACTTTGATTTGGTAAGGTTCAAATGTGAATTCAGGGGTGAATGGGTTAATACATTACATATGATCTCGGATACATATGAATAACCTTGATTCAAAATACGCAGAAATGTGATGGAGCTGATAGGTTACAGTAAAGGTCATCAGAGCATTACCCCTGGTGTGGCGCTGATAGGTTACAGTAAAGGTCATCAGAACATGACCCCTGGTGTGGCGCTGATAGGTTACAGTAAAGGTCATCGGAACAGGACCCCTGATGTGGCATACTGGGATCAGTGGAAACTTGGCATGCGGAATGTCCCTGTTGCGACTCATTAAACTGAATGCAGTGTTGAAACGTTCCTGTCAGTATTGGTTCTGAAATCTCTATATTCTAAAGCTGTAAATAATATATTCTAGTAATAAATATTGGTATTTGGGGTTTTTTCACTGCAAAAAGTTCCAGTTTTAAAGTACAGAGAGAATCGTTGTATACTTGGATGATAGGATGTCATAAGTTGCTGATTTACATTGTTATGATATGACAGGGGATATTGTAATGCTACCGTAATGGTAGTTACCAGGAATTGAAATATGACAGGTCTCTCGTACTCCCGACATATTCGTCAACAATTGCCTCTCAAGTACACACACATACACATACTCATCATCATAATTTTATTATATTGCTTAGAAATCTCTTCATGAAATATGATTTTATGAGGTAGAATGACACCCCTAAGAAACACCATTCACATAGGTATCCAGCAATGAGCCCATGCTTGGTAATAAGCCCGCCCAATAATATCCTGTTATAGGTCCACCCCCACTTCTTTGAGTTAGAGATTAAGTGTTGAATCCCGGGCTTATTACAAGACATTATACAATGGTATAACACTCCCATATAAAAACAGCATTTTCCATCAGTCTAGATAGTATTTCAGATCTTTAACAAGTTTCTACTGAAATACAAAGTGAACAATTCCACGAACTGACCTCAATATTGCCAATAAACAGATCACTGTTACATATGTTATAGAGATGAACTTGATATTGCTTACATATAGGTATATTCTAAAACAAAATATCAGGCGTTCACTGGGCAAGAATGTTCAGTACAAACAATACTCCCGGCCAATTTTACACGATAAATTCATCCTCACTGAGCCCACTGACTAAAGAATCACTGGCGTAGTTGCCGTTGACCTCTTTGGCTGTTGTTCCGTTGACTGTTTCGGTTTCCGGTTTCCATGGTAACATGGCATTGAGTTCTCGGATTGCACGCTCCTTTCGTTTGAGTTCCTGCTTCATGGACTCCAGCTGTTTCCTCAGATTGTCCAACTCAGGTGGAGATTCTTTTTGATTCTGTGAATAGATAGGATATGTTAGTTGACATGAGACGGACGTATCGCATCTACATCACAAGTTTGTTTTACAGAGAAAACAAACAATAGCGCGACTTTATGAATTCAAGATGTGTCGATATAGTCATCTTCGAAATCATACAGATTTCACATTTTCATAAAATTGACAATAGATTAGGAAATTTCAACCAATTCCCTTCACCGATAATGATAGGCTGTTGTATGATTATTTGTATATCTATTATATTAATATATAGTAATTTGAAAGTTAAAACTCCTAATATTGCAGCAATGTTTCATTCCTTTGTATTTAAATATTCCTGGTTCTTTTTTTATTACATGTATATATGTATATACTGCGATACCCCAAGGTTTCGATGTGTGACCTAACTTAACGTTCCATTGACCCACCACTGATAAGTTTCCTATAGTTACCTTGGTTACCTGGGTAGGTGTAGAGGACCTCGCCCTGGCGACGGTGAACACAAACTCCTCTGGCCCCTCCTGTATCCGCGCCTTTATACCAGACACAGAGTCCGCCATCACAAGACTCTCATTTACCTGTAAAAATTACAATTATCAAAATTCATCAATTGTAAACACTCTCCCTAAAATTGTATTTGGCACATTTTGTATTAAAGTCTCAGTAATTTGAATATATAGGATGTTGAAAAATGTCTTTAATTTAACCTGACAAACACATAGAAGGTCATGATCAGAAAACAGTACAGTAATTTCTAACAGCTCACCTCTATGATTATGTCCCCTTTGCAGAGCTCTCCAACATCACAGTACTGGTTGAGTTGCCTAGAAACATCAGCTACGGCTACCATGGTAAAGGAAACAATATTGGTGGGAATTTTCACCGGTTTAAATGCACTGCCAGGTCCACCCAACTGTGCATACTTCCCCTGAGGTGAAACGGGAAGAGAGTTGTCTTTCTTTGGCAATTTGCGTAGCACAGGTAGAGCAACAGAGCACTCACACAATCTCAAGTTATTAAAAAACACTGATTTGTCTTCAATGGTAATGCGGACGGAGGCCAGATCATGTGACTGAAGAATCTGGAAAAGACATGGCATACTGACATATTTACTGCTATCTTCCTCAGATCTTGTATTGAACTTGAAGTTGCCAGGCAATGTATCATAATGTGATGCCGCCGGATGTGTACCTTTCGCTTTCATAGGTCGTGTCACAGTTGAGTGACCCGGCTGGCCAGCTGAGCTATTATGCTGCTGTACACGTGTGTGCTTCAAGTTCAAGCTCAGGGCATTTACAGGGTAATCCATAATCCTGGGTGGTTCACTTTTAGGCGATATAATTGATCTCGGTGACCTTTGCCTTTCTGACCTTGGTGACCTCTGCCGCTCTGACCTGGGTGACCTTGATCTGTAGTCTGTCACAGTGTCTTTACCTTGGTGAGCCGAGGGCTCTCTGTTCCTGAGAAACGGGTTACCACCCTGTTGACTGGGACGATTCTGACTGTCTTGTATCGTTTTAAAATGTCCCTGATAAACACCATTATTGCTGTTAGTAGAAGGAGGTATTACTTTTGTGACATTGTTCCAAGCAGACACCGGTTTAAAGTGATCTGGGGGTGATGTCATAGAATTATACACTTTCTGTGCAGGTGAAATCCGGCGATTTGCTGGAGAACTCACAGAATTTGGACCTCTTTGCACTTGTGAAACATGGCGATTGGTCGGTGAATTGACAGAATTATGCACCCTTTGAGTAAGTGACACCTGTTGATTTGTTGGTGAACTTATAGAGTTATGCCCCCTTTGAGCAGGTGACACATGTTGATTTGTTGGTGAACTTACAGAGTTATGCCCCCTTTGAGCAGGTGACACATGTCGATTTGTTGGAGAAATTACAGAGTTATGCCCCCTTTGAGCAGGTGACACATGTTGATTTGGCAACACAAAATTCTGTCCCATGTTACTTTTTACGCCCTGTCTGTTTGGCGGAGACACAACAGATTTATTTCCCCTTGGTGGTGATGAAATAGAGTTGCGTCCCCTTGTCCCAGATGATGCCTGGTTGTATGAATTGTCCGTCCTTGGTGCCCTATTCACTGGGACAGCATTGTAGACAGACAGGTTACCCATGGCAGTTGGGGGACTGCCTGCACCATAAGACACTGGCCTGACCCCAGGGTCAAGGTCACCATTTGAGACTGATCTCATCACTGAAGAATGTCTTCTGTTTTGCTCGTAAGCTTTAGTGTTTAATTTGCTGTCACTGTTGTTTGCACTAGGGAAGGGAGGAGCGTTTACTTTGGTAGGACTACTGGTGGCGTTAGGGGGACTGAAGGGTGAGTTAAAGTCGACAGTCTCCCTTTGACTGGTAGAGTCACGCCTATGACTACCACCGTAGCCTTTCCCATTGGAGTACAAGCTCTGGGCAAACTTTTGTAGACTTTTTGAATAAGAGGATGAAGAATACACATCGTTTTCAGGATCATTGGTAGAATAGCCCGAATCTGCCGTACTACTGACTGAGGTCACTGTTGTTACTCCAGATTCACCTCTCACACTAGAGGGCATCGTAGCGTAATGTCCACCCTCATAGTCAGATGTATCTAAAGTCTGATTGCTACGCTTATCAACAGGTGCTGATGCCCTGTTTTCCGATATATTCTCCAACTTGCCATTTTGACTCTCTTTCGGCTGTGACGATTTTGGTGAGGAGTTTGGTGATTGCGAGTCTAGAAGGTCTGATACTTCACGGTCAGACGGCGTGCCACTGACGCGTTTTGATTGGTCACTGGTGGACTGGGGTGTGTTAACAGACTGACGGGACGAAGACCCACTCATACTGCTGTGTACGTTGATACGCTGTCTCACCATTTCCGTGTAATGTTTCTTCTTCTCAGACACATCGCTTCCTCTTGGCACTAAGGGAAGTGAGCGACGTGGCTTGGCTGGAGGCACAACACTATTCACATTAGCCTCACTTTTACTGATGACCGATTCTTTGTTATTTGCAATATTTTCCTTTACCTCCTTTTTTGTATCCGTTTTAGAATTTAGTAACTTGCACTTAATATCCTCTGGTGATTTGGTGGTGTCCTTGGGCAGTGTGAATGCCTGTTTCATACCTGCTACATGCTGAGAACTTTCGTATTTTCGCTGCCCAACAAGAGACAGTGTCAAACCTGTTGTCAAGTCACCAAGACTGTGTGCCCTTGACACCTGGTCAGACAGAGGCTCTTCCTCCTTAATGTCAGCCTCCCTCCGAACTGGCCTATACAACTCATCACTTTTTAATGCACAACTTTCATCTACGCTGTCTTTCTCGAACATCCGTGACGGCTTCGAATGGGAATAAATATCATTATGACTACTATACATGCGATTGCCATTAGTCAATTTCTTATTATTGTTTATCTCCCTTGCACCATAGTTTTGTGTCCTGTGATTTGATTGGCCATCCCTTTGCCTGTACTGTGACTGTGAATGAGACAGGGTACTGGATTGGTAGGATCGTTCCGACATGACCTCTGACCTCCAGTCGTCTGGTTCGTCTCTCCAGTGGTTCTCCTTCTCTGAGGTATTCATCAGCACGTTGTTGTTGGAGTGATCGGCTATACCGTTGGACAGCTGTAGATTTAGGTTGTCCTCCGTCGACACCTGCTGGAGATCGGACTGTTTCCTCCGCATCTATGTAACACAACAGATTAAAATCGTTGCAAGTTTTACTCAATCAATCGTGAATATTCAACAGTACACTTTATCGTTCTTTATAATGAGACCTAGATGAACATAACAATAACTGTAGTTAACATCAATAAGCCCTGCATGCCTGGTAATAAGCCTACCTGTATCTAAGGCAATAAGCCTACCTGTATCTAAGGCATTAAGCCTACCTGTATCTAAGGCAATAAGTCTACCTGTTTCTAAGGCAATAAGCCTACCTGTATCTAAGGCAATAAGCCTACCTGTATCTAAGGTAATAAGCCTACCTGTATCTAAGGCAATTAAGTATGAAATGCCAATGCTATGTCACTGTCACGTAATAAGCTAACTCCCTGCCTTCAGTCAGAGATTTTATATCTGCCATTTAAGCTGATCGCAGGATAAATATGGAGTGGAAATTCTTAAAACTGTTCTTGTTTAAAGTAAAAGAGTAAATTTTCATTTTTTTGACTCTATATCTTTCACATCGTTTAAAGTACACGAATTTCTGTATTGTCCTTGGCTATATATCCATAGTGTCAATACCTACCTGCGTGCATATATCCTATTTCATGTAGATTTTACTATGGAGAATATATATGCTTTACTTTGTTTTTTGGCAGCTACCTATGATGCCTATAGGAGCTATCATACATACCCTATACTTTGCGTGTCGGCGGCCATCGCTATGGTAAGTTCCGTCCAACTGTTTGTACAGGTTGGAGTCGGACACACTCAGATTAGCCCAGCTCTGTGACTTCAGCATCTACAGGTGAAAATTTAAAAGATAAGATAGTATACAGGTAAAACAAAACATAATCAACAGGTAAGATTATCTTATTTCTATGTAATTCATGGTCGGGAAAGGTGTACGCAAACAAGGTATCTTATCTGATCCTATTGTATTACTTACCGCCATAAAGTTTGTTAAAGTGATTACAGGTAAAATAGTAATATTACAGGTGAGACGGAACTGAGTCACAGATAAAACTCAAATATCTTGCTACATTCTGAGAGAGTTTGACAAATTAAAATATGTAGGACGTCACAGAATCGACATCACAAATCAGGAAATCTGACATATTACACACAATACATCAGACAGAGTCAGATCTACTCCATATTCTCTTGTCTCGTGGACGTTTTAGCGATAACTCTGACACAATGCATATTTTACATCATTTCGTACATTACTCTCACTGATTCGTCCCAGGGAAGCACAAAACATTTATGTTTTAAAATAATAACCTCCATCTCCGACACAAAACTATGCATACAAAGTAAATTAAGGTCACATTAAAAATCAGAGATAAAATTAAATAGAAAAATGATATCTGCATGTTAAAATAGTAAAATAAATAAATAAAGGTTATGCACTCTAAAGGAGGATGTCTTATAACGACTTATGTAAACAGTGAAACTCATCAGAAAAGATTCCACTTAACACTGAGTGAAATAGACAGTGGATTACCATGGCAACCTCCTCAAACTGTCTTCTTTTTTCTTGAAAATCTCGCATCATTTCTATTTACATTTGTCTAGCCTTGCATAACCTGAACATATTCACAGATTAGTTAATGCTGAGATCGACTTATATGTAGAAAAACAGGAAAAACTTATCTTATAAAATCGCCAGTGTACATGATATCTAAGGATAAAGTATTACCTTCTTGCTTGTCATGGTGTACATGATCCAGATATATGGTTTTGATAGTACAAGTAAAACAGTCAGTTAATTTTAGCATGGTATCCCACTAAAACTACATCAGTTCACCTGAATGAGACTTTCTCTATTAAACCACCTGATTACCTTACCAGACAGGTGAATTTAATTAGTCAATAATTCCAATTAGTACTCAGGGCGAATAATAAGGGGGGTTATTATCTCTTCACACCAATTAAAGATGTCATAGTTGGGTAGCGAACTGTCTCACACCAATTAACTCGGACCAAGTTTTCTTTATAGAGGTCTAGCCCAGTCAGTCCAATTACCCCTAATAACTTTAATTAGATAATTAGTTTCTCACACCTTCTCTTAGAAGCTAACCAGACCTGGTGCGAAAAATATTACACCTATTACTGGAAGGTACAATCTGTCTCAAAGTGTGAAGTATGGGTAGCTTAACACCCTGTAAACATACTATTTCTTTTGTTATCTACTGAAAGTAAGTATTGAAATGCAAAACAAATCTTAACCTCAATTGACTGTAGTGTCTTTATATTTTCAAGTTTAATTTAAGTGATCAACTCAACAAGTTCAGCAAAATGACTTCAGGATTGAGAAAATGGTTGGTAATTTAGCTTGCTTAAAAAAAATGTCAAATAAAAAGATAAGATAGATATCGGGCATCTAATTAACATACCTGTTTAGCACCTGACCTTATTAATCAACATACCTGTTTAGCACCTGACCTTATTAATTAACATACCTATTTAGCACCTGACCTTATTCATTAACATACCTGTTTAGCACCTGACTTTGGTTTCTTTATCAGCATCAAACATTTATTGTTAGCATCTTTTTTCTCCAGTTCATTCAGAACAACATCATCATCTCGTAGGAAGGAGTGAACTGAAATATAAAAGGGATAAGTTTAATAATGGACATAATCAACAGAGATTATTGTAACTTCCAATACTCAACACCGACATTGTTGATTACAGTATCATGTCACAGTCGATAAAAACACTGATTATCGTCTCAGGCCAAGTCAGATCACTAATGTGATACTGTATTCCACATTAAATCAAACCATTTTATTCACTAACTGAACGGAAATCAATTTACATACCAACATCTAGTAACTTCATTAATTACTCTTAAATATGCATGCATTTTATTACCTGGTAGTAATAAAACCTTATAGCATAAGAATTGCCATGTTTTATGTGTGTTATAAATTTGGCTAAAACTGAACCATTTTTAGGAGAGTTGTTTGCACAGAAACTTAAAAATAACCAATTAGAATTGTATAACCTCATTAATTATGCATAAATATCACATTGGTTAGCAAACTTAGTCTGTGATCAAATTTGGGTGAAATCACGCAATTTCTCCGACTCTAAGTGTAACATAGGGACAGTGGGTCCAGATAGTTTTCTAGACTAATGGAGCTTACATTGAAGAGGTGCAATTGTAAATAGATATTATACATCATAATTTTTATAACAACTTTCTCACTTTTTTTATAAGTGTCAGAATGTTCAACGACTGAGATTGGCAAGATATAGAACATGTTCCATTTAATCATATAAAATTTCAATAATACAGTATATAAATATAAAAATAAATTATCTGATCTTTTATAGAAATAAATATTATTCTGAATCAATGAAATAACAGCTTCTTCAATTTAAAAGACAACTATACAACATTTTATATTAATTAATTGATAAACACTATCAGATGAAATTGTTTGGAAAATTGGATAAAAACCAAAACTTTATCAAATATGGACAAACATGTCCCCAAAAATTGAAAACTTAGATAAATGAGATTAAGATAAAAATACAAACTCACAGATTTCATCTTCAATATTAAGGATATTCAGTTTAAGTTCCAGAATTTTTTTCCAGCACATATTCTCCATTTTGTACTAGGTAGGTTTTGTCGTGTGTGTGTGTGGATGTCAAAGTATATCGTATATAGGTTTGAGTATATTGCTATCACAGATCTATCGACAGATAAAAATCAGATATATCATTGGAGCACGGGCCAACAAAGTAACAGCTGGAAATAAGAGGGTAGGGTGGGGACCACGGTCCTGTAAAAAATAGATATTAAGATTTTAATCGACTGTAAAATGTCCTATGGCCGAAAAACCAACAAATGTGGGTTATTTTTATTGGTAGCGTGAAAAAGTGTTATTGATTTGTACACATGCATTCCTTTTACCATTTATTTGATGTTTTTTAAAATTTAAATTTCTTTCCAATCTTTGATTTAAATGAAATTCCTATCCAAGTGCCCCTTTTGTTGTATTTTAAAAATATTCAAAGTTCTTGTTTCCACGAGACAAAGAAGAACCAAGGGAGGTCAGCTATTGAGAATAACAGTAAGATAACAGGCTAGGTACTTCAGTTATATAACAAATAACATCCAATCTATCGGTGGCCAGATACTGTCAGGTATGTCTCCGAACAAAGCAAGTCCCTTTGACAGATTTTAACCAAATAGACTTTCTTTTCACTGTTAATCCAACCCCAATCAAGGATGACAGTTGAAAAACAAACATTTCATTTATCGTTTGACAGATTTAGAATTATTAAAAAAATACTGTCTGCGGTTTGTTTAGGATATTTGCATTGGCAAGCTTCCACTAGTAAGACAATTTTGTTCGTTATTGTAAGGTAGAAATGTTTATAATTCACCCCAGTAGGTCTCAGTTCAATTTAATTTACCACAGCGGGAACTTAAAACAAATACTAAAACTATGCAACTCTCAATGTGATTGTACACCATGGCTGGCGGACTGTTTGAGCGATCAACCCCCTGAGAAACATATACACCAATGTGGGATCGTGTACAGTTAACCTCGGGGCTCCACACGATACGCTCAACACACGACGTCAGATTATTTCCCATTCTTTTGTCTTTGTTGGGAAATCAGGTGTCAGGTTTCCATATTTTAGAGATATATTAATAGTTAATAGACATATTTTATTGCACGACACACATTGACCATGTGTCAACAATACGTAGGAACGTGAGGTCTCATAATCGGGAATGAGACAGCTTTTTTTCAATAACATTGACAAAATTAAAAGAAAATTTAAAGGCCTCATGCCAGATTGTGTCAACTTTTATCACGTTTATGAAACTTATCAAACTAAAATCATTCAAACCTGAACTCTGGGGTCTTATCTTATATACCTCGTTATTACTATATTAGATTAATTACAAACACGAATATATAATGTTTATTTCGTACTATTAGACAGATAGACAACATCAGGTGTCTATATAACCCTATCAAATACGTTGGACCTGTCCAGTTCATAGGATGGAGGAGTCCATTTTAAATATCAGGGGGTGGGATAAGAAAGACATTTATCATTTCTCTAAAGTGTCTGTCTGCATGTATATTATCGTGTCAGAATATAAATATGAACTTGAATTGACACATTGTTTCAATTTTTCAGATAAAGATTTAAATATGAAATTTTGTCCGGAATGATATTTATATACACACGTTTTTTTGGTGCGTGGGAATAGACGTGATATGAAGTTATGACAGGCTGTTTTGTGTGTACTATAACCGCGTATTATTAACAGTTAATCAACTGCATTAGACCTGCTAAAGTCCCTGTACTATTATTTAGTACACACGATATTCAACTTTATAGAAGTGCACCATCCCTTTTAAACAGAAGCGTACAATTTTTACTCATTCAGCGTCTTAGACGGACAAGCAGATTTTAAATTGGGAATAGTGAAAATTTTCAATATTTGCAATGGAAAGATAGATCCGGCTAATGGCTAGGGCTTGGGGCAAAGACACTATATATTTATTATGCTAATATTAAAGGGCAGTGAAATTTCTTTATTTTTCTTGTCAGAAATCAAGTCTTGATTAATAAATATTAATAAATAAATCAACATCATATATAACTTCTGACCATTAAAAGCATTCATCAATTTGATCTCAAAAGAATTTTTGTTGATTCAATAGTACAGACTCATGCCAAGTGAACAATTTGTATTGACTGTGAGGTAAGAAATCCCGATTACGTAGTACACTATATATTTTTTTTTAATAAGGTCAGTTGTGTTTCACTTCAGTGCTAATTAAGTTGGATATGGTACAATATGGAGGATATAATTGAAAATAATTGAATAATGATACCATTTAATTAAATCTTTAACCCTTTCACCCATATGTAACTTTAGTAGACTCTACCATGCATTGATCTGGGTGAGTCCATTATGGTCTACAGTGGAGAAAGGTTTAAACTGGAAATGGTTATCTTCTAAGTAATAAATCGTGTGAAACAGCTGAAACCTTTTATCTTATGACTGGGGTAAAATGAAACAATTAAAATAATTTACTACATGATAAATAATGTGAGGAACTAAATATCTTCCATTTAATGTTTTATACTGTGTAAGAAAAGTGTCAGGTTAAACCGTTAAACAAGGTTTATAAGTAACATTTTAGTCGTATATTGCTGGGTATAAATTGCACCTAAAATTTTGCCTCCAATATGTCAAATATGACCAATATAAGCAATACCTCTCACACCTAGGGGTCAGACAACTGATATCTAGGATACCAGTGAGATTTGTAACCGCTAAAACAGTTTGATGGTGTTAGAGAAGTCTAGCTGATCACAAGGCAATCGCAGTTATCTCCCTTTGACCAGCTAGGATTAAAACCAGGCGGAACCACTTGTAAATAAAAACCAAAAGTTTACCAATCTAGAAAGTCCACCTGTTAATTAATACCAAAAGTCTACCTGTCTAAAAAGACCAACTGTTAATAAATATCAAAAGTCTGTGTAGAAAGACCACTTGAGATTTATGCTAGATTTTATTTACTGGAAATCTTAAAAAGAAATTATCCAGAGAAAAAAAAAAATATTGCTAAAAAACACTTATTTAAGTCTGTCAAGTTTATTAAGCTAGGTTAAAACTGGAAAATATTTAATGAAGAGATGTGAAAATTATTTCTGGAATATTTCAACCTTTCCGCAAAAACTTCAAAGTCAGTGTTTTGGACAAATAAAAATCAAGGGCAGGTTGAGGGTCTGCGGGGCCAAGTGGTTAAGGCATATCTGACGTTCTGCTACCACTAGCCGTCCACCACTGGGTCGTGGGTTTGAGGCCTACATGGGGCAGTTGCCAGGTACTGGCCGTAGGTCGGTGGTTTTTCTCCGGGAACTCCGGCTTTCCTCCACCACCAAAACCTGGCATGTTCATAAAATGACCATAGCTGTTAATAGGACGTAAAACACAAACAAACCAAACCAAACCAAACCAATGGTGTGTACAGTTGTCCTAACAACGATCAATTTCAAAAGTGAATGGGACCAGACCAGGCTTCAAATAGTTTGAATGTTATAGCAATGCTCTCCCATATATCGCCGATCTGGTCACAAGTCATTGCGCCAGGACAAAACAACAGATAGCAGGACTACCTAGGTATTATAAAAGTATGAACACAACTCACCGTGCCCAAAACTGGAGGCGATGGTCAGTGCATGCTTGGTCGTCTTCTTGTTGCGTTTGTCTGGTGTGGTAGGTGCGAGTAAGATGCTGGACTTGACTTTACTGGTTCGCTCGCCTTGTGACACGAGGATACTTCCACACTGAACCTGTAAAACACAAATCATTGTGAAAGTAAGTAACATGTTAATACAACAAGCTATTTAGATACTTAAGTAAATCTAAAAGTCTGTGTCTCAACTACAGTAAAATATAATCCATGGATCATTGTGACCAATTCAAATTCATAAGTCAATGGTGCAGTAAAATACAATTCGAGCTCATTTTAAGAGTCTGTGTCTCCACTACGGTAAAATACAATCCATGATTCAGAATGTTGTAAAACACTACCTCAGATCTGAATTCAATATGACATTATGTATTACTGTAAGAAGTTTTCAGGCACATCCATATGTCATCACTACAATGTGAAAGTCAGATGAAGACAAATTCTAAATACATTCAAGGGGATGGTCTGAATGTGACAATATCCAACAGAATCATCTTTAATGGGTGTAGACACATGAAGTTAAGGTTACAAACATTTTGGCGGCAGCTGCTTTCAATACTTCCTAATTAACAAGTTTCTACCTCAGGAGTGTTCTATCTGTGTGTAGACAAGAAGTAAAATGTGTGAGATGGCAAAATTATGGTCAGGAAGCCAAGAGACATATGTCAAAGGTCAGAAACAGAAAGGTGTTTAACGACAAATGTTAGAAATAACAGGAAGCTCCAGAGACAGTGTCAATGGCCAGATACAGAAAGCTGCTCAAAGACATGGGTCAAACTAGAACACTGAGAGATCAGCAAGAACAAGAAGCTCCAGAGACAGTGTCAATGGCCAGATACAGAAAGCTGCTCAAAGACATAGGTCAAACTAGAACACTGACAGATCGGCAAGAACAGGAAGCTCCAGAAACAGTGTCAATGGCCAGAAACAGAAAGCTGCTCAAAGACATAGGTCAAACTAGAACACTGACAGATCAGCAAGAACAAGAAGCTTCAGAAACAGTGTCAATGGCCAGAAACAGAAAGCTGCTCAAAGACATAGGTCAAACTAGAACACTGACAGATCGGCAAGAACAGGAAGCTCCAGAGACAGTGTCAATGGTCAGATACAGAAAGCTGCTCAAAGACATACGTCAAACTAGAACACTGAGAGATCGGCAAGAACAGGAAGCTCCAGAAACAGTGTCAATGGTCAGAAACAGAAAGGTGCTCAAAGACATAGGTCAAACTAGAACACTGACAGATCAGCAAGAACAAGAAGCTTCAGAAACAGTGTCAATGGCCAGATACAGAAAGCTGCTCAAAGACATAGGTCAAACTAGAACACTGAGAGATCGGCAAGAACAAGAAGCTCCAGAAACAGTGTCAATATGGCCAGAGACAGAAAGCTGCTCAAAGACATTGGTCAAACTAGAACACTGACAGATCAGCAAAGTCCCACCATCTGCCTAACTGTATCCCCAATGGTCTTTTTTAAAGTAACAGTGACCTTCAACTTAGATTATTTTCAAACCCCATTTGCAAATTACCCTCCTAGAATCAGACAATTTAATTTCAACCCCCACACCAAATATCAACCTCCTCCAATCTAAAACCTTTACCGTACTACAACTCCCGAACCAAATCAAATATCAATCTTTCTGCCTGGGACTGCTGGTATTTCAGCCCCAAAACCAAATATCAACATTCTATTATACTTAAAAAAAAAAAAAAATGAAATGAAAACAAAGTTTTTGAAGTTCAACCTTCTCAGTTTAACCTAAGTTATATATATTTTCTGTGGTAATAATGTATGACCTTGTGTGTAGCCTCTGTTTGAAGGTTAAATGAAGGGTATGTTGACATTCTCCCCACATCTCAACCAACCTGCAGACTGTGACATTGGGCCTCCATTATCAAGTAACATCAAATTCCACCCTGATGAATAGGCTTATGAATATTTACAACACAAGTACGAACAGAACCACTACTCCGACCGATCAGAGTTCCCAACAGACAATATTAGGTTCTGATGTGACCATGTCCATACAGTATGCATGATTGAGTTGGTAACCTAATTGAATGCTGACAAACATGTATAAACTAGAGAACACCTACATAAAATCGGCCACTTGATTCTGTCCAGAGTATAGGATTTGAATAAAAAATAGCACAGCTGACAAGCAGAGTATATGACCGCCAGCACAAAAAACAAATGATCATGACATTTTACATTTGATCAGCGAATAATGACAGAGAAAACAGATATTAAGCCTTTCACCCCTATGTAACTTTAGTAAACTCTTCCATGCTTTGATCTGGACGAGTCCATTATGGTCTACAGTGCATGGTGAAAGGGTTAAATGAAATGAAATTAAAAGCTGTCTTAATGGTCGTAAATGCAGAAGCCGTTATAAAAGTACAAATGTGCTGGAGAATGAAATATGTGACTTTTGTATCATCACTACTATTTACTTTTAACTTCAAATCGACAAAATATGATTACCGCTGAATATGAAATCCTTGTATTCCTGCACATTACGAATAGTTGTAGCAATAATTTAATATACAGTGTAACTTGAAGATGATGGACAAAAGCATGCGTCTTATAAGAATATACTGTGAAATATGTTTACAGTTCTTGCGAACAGTTTTAATTATCACATCCAAAATTGACTCAGTAGGGGAGAGGAAACTGTTGGGAGAAATTTGAAATTCAACCAAATGCCATGGCGAATGAAAAAAATAATTGTTTACAGTTCTTCAAAACAATTTTAATTATCACATCGCATAATTGACTCGGCAGGGTTGTTGTTGTTGTTATTGTGTTGTTGATGTTGTTGTTATTGTTATTGTGTTGTTGTTGTTGTTGTTGTTGTCTTGTTGTTGTTGTTGTGTCTGGGGAAAGATGGTAGTTGGTGGTTTCGGGGGGGAATATACAAACTATTCGTGATTTTGTGGGCGTGGAGTAAATAGGAACACATAGAGTACCACACATCTTTGTCTTGTTCTCATGATTAACGACAAAACTACAGCATTAAACAGACCATATCAAACATCAAAGGTATCATACCCCTCTATACTGTTGTGGCAGGAATTTCTCTACAGTAATTTAAAATTATCAGGCTAGTCCACGGAAATAAAATTCAGAAATGACGAAACAAAGTTTCAATGCCAGAAAAGAAATTAGATTTGTAATTTTCTAGACGTTTTGAGCTACGTGTTTCCAGACTGCAGAGAGGAAGGATTGGGGAGGGATACAGTAACACTGTACTGTATAATCACCGCCATGTGTGGGAAGTATAACCAGCCGAAAACCACATGGCGTAATTCATTGTTTTAAAATGTTAGAAAAATCCAAATATAACGATTAATTTCCCTATCAGAATGTGAAGTATGATTCACGCTGAGACTGATAAAGGGAGAAGTTCTCTCAGACAAAACCGCTGCCAACTTATAAGTTTGGTTCAAAACGTATTTAATTTTCCAAACAGATTCATCAAATTATTTACATGTAACATATAATGGCAGCTGCCAAAAATTCTTCTTTGTATCTTAATTAGAGTATGTTTTTCAAAAACACAGAGATTCTTTTATAATTTGTTGAAAACTGTGTAAATGGAATAGTAAGAGGCGGCTTATGAAATGCCATAAAAATCATCTTTCGAATTTGTTTTTAACTTGTTTTTGTGATAAACATCCTGGAACAATCGGAGAAGACAGCTGATGTTGGCACCAGTGTAAATCTACTGACGGGGATAGATTAGGACAATATCAAATGGTAATAAACCTTTAGTATTGGGGTTAATACACAGCGCCCTTATATCTAGGTAGAAGTACACGATACCTCAGAGAAAAGGCANGGGGGGGGGGGGGGGGGGGGGGGGGGAATCTCACATTGTAATAGTTGTTTGTATATTGATTTTATATAAAAATACTGGCATAGAACCTACACAATAAACTATTGTCCTAACATCTAGTAATTAAGTAACCTGACTGAACCTTTATGATATAATCCAGAATCCTGTATAAACAAGACCTACATCTCATGGTATACATTTCTGTCAACTTAACCTATGTAATCAGAAAACCTGTATAAACAGGAATTTCATCTAGGTCCCATTGTACATTAATTTCTAGTTGGGTGTCACAGTGGATAGCGTACATGCTTTTCAACAAGACATAAAAAGGTTAACGCAGGTTTTCTTCAGGTACTCCGGTTTTCTTCCAACATTACAATCCTCTTCATGCTTTTATCCGGGCCAAATTGTGTGAACCATATAAGATTGAAAAACTTGTTTAATACTTGTTATAAAATAAAGTTTGTTTGATAAATATAGAAAATATGATAACTATTTTTTTTCATTGATTACAGAGAAGACAGATTACTAGAATTTTCAGACGTCTTTGACCACCAACTCATTGGACTGGTTCAGTGTATCTGTTCTACTCTATACTAAGAAACACATGTACATCAATATCACTCCAACCTACCTGTTCTTCCTCCCATGAGGGAGTTCTGTTGGGTTCCGACTCTGACCTCGGCCGACCTGAGAGGTCGGGAGAAGATGTCTGGGGGTTGGGGTTTGCCGTGTATATTATCCAAACCATCGTGCCTCACCCCCAGAACTACAGACACCCAGGGGTGACGTCAATAACACTGTGGGGCGACGTCAACGACAACGTTAACGATAAGTATGATATCAAGAGAACTATGACACCAGCGGGCGACATCAACTGATATATCTCTAAATGTACCCAGAGAATGTGTCAAATGGTTTACACTACTACACCACAGCTTATGTCAGTGTAGAATTCCAACACATTAGTCATTGGTACCTCCCCACACTCATATCACAGACCCAAGGTATCCGATAATCTTTACTTTTCAAAGTGTCTCCACTTAATCACTTGATAAGGTTGTGAGATGTACATGACATCTAAAATCTCAGAATCTTCGGTTAAAGATACATGTGCAACCTTCGTATTTCCGTACGACTTTGTCTCATCCGGAGTCAGAATCGGCTGTGATTCCAATGTTGTGACACCTTCGTCGTGTAAGCCTGTCCTGGAAGCATCTGAAGGACATTAATTATTCAACACTCCAGAAGCTGAGTGTTAACCAACACAGAAACACATTCCTACCAACACACCGCTGTCTAGAAACACCTTTTTTTCAACATTTAATTAAACAAGATGAAGTCATCACTTTTACAGCAATTTAATACCCGTCTTATAATCAAAAACACTTGTGATACAAACTCTCCACAACATCAGAAATGGAGAACTTTGTACTTGACTAACCTCTCGAAATATGATCATTAAATATATAATCTACACGTACAACACTGAACAATATCCACAGAAATAATGAGTTTAGATCCAAAAAACTACCACAAAATCTGTCTCCTCCCCGATTCTGTACCCAGCAATGATCCCAGCATCCAAAAGTAATACAATCACGTACATAAACAAGACATTGATAACTAATGAATTCCATATAAGGATGTATCCATATTAGTACGTATGTTGTTTGTCCAAATGTGTGAAATGTCTAACTGTACCGAGTCAGACATACAAGTCCATCCACTTTAAATCTCACAACTCATACCAGTATGGATCAACATTTCAAAAATCAATATTATAGGTATTTATCCTTGACTTTCACAGCTGTCCACAACAAATTCTTGATTTGATTGTGAGTGAATATATAAATATATTGATCCAAATACAGACCGGCATTAAACTATCCCTCCTCTCGGTCACCCAAAACAAAATCTCCCGGCAAAACAGACTCTCAATCAATATCTGTCATAAACGACAATCATGCTCCGTGTGAAATGTTCATTATACAGAATCTACACATTTCGTTATCTCGATCAGTTAACTAGGACACCGACATAGACATCCCAACACAAAATCATGTGAAACCAGTAGCCTCATAGACAGTGGGTTAAACACTCTTCCATCTTAGAATACTGCGGAGTAGAAATCCAGAAAAAAATTCAGCAACGCCATCTTTTGCAGCCATAAATCGGTGCAACCATTGTTGTGTAAATTGTCCCGTCGACATGTCAATATAACGTCAATGTAACAATTATCTTGTGCTGCATGAGATGCCCTCCGGACTTCCAGTCATCTCACCGTCTGTATCCCCCATTCTCTGTCCTACTCTAAATACACAACCTTAATCCGTCAATACAACATATACTCACTACTAATCCTACACTTTATAACATCCTCACTTCTAATCCTACTTTATAGTACATCCTCTCACCTAATCCTACTTTATATAACATCCTAACACTTAATCCTAATTTATATATTACAACCTCAGTCCTAATCCTACCGCCTAAAATATTCTCACTCCTAATCCTACCGCCTAGAATATTCTCACTCCTAATCCTACCGCATAGAATATTCTCACTCCTAATCCTACCGCATAAAATGTTCTCACTCCTAATCCTACCACCTAGAATACTCACTCCTAATCCTACCACCTAGAATATTCTCACTCCTAATCCTACCACCTAGAATATTCTCACTCCTTATCATACTNCATTTCCATAGCCTTTATAAAACCACTTACAGGACTGTTTATGCCTGTTGACAATATCATGACACATGTTTAAATGTTTTTGTATAATGTTTTATAAACTGAACTACATCTGTTACCATCATATCATCAACTTCATATAAATATCACTCACAAAAACATTCATTTGCATGAAACATCTAATAAATCAGTAAGGTTTGGTTACTGTGTGATGTCAGACGCAACTGCTTATAAAGTTTGAATATCAATAGACATCGGTCACGCTCAATGACAAGAAATTAAAACTCCTCATATATTGATATCACCAGTTTGATCAGCAAGCACATTCCCCAACAGATCCTCGACAGTTCACACATAATAATCAACGGACAGAAAATAAGTTTCGTTAGAATTAGACACACAGAAACAATCCACACCCATATTACAAATTGCGGTATCAATGATATGTATGTATTCTTTAGTCAGCAAGAAACGTAACTTTATTGCCATCCTTTTGTTATTATACAGGTAACACACTACAGGTATCTGATCCTGTGCGGACCCAGGTGCCAGGTATATTTAGTTACAGGTAACATCAACAAGTTGGTGCATTAATCTCCATTGTAATGCCTTACCCCAGGTATTCTACACATATTGAATTTATCACCGCAAGGAAATGTATGCTTGCTCAAGTAAATTAGCATCCTCAATCGCTTCCGTTGAATATATTAATCAATAGAATACGAAGTTGTGTATATAACAAGGCTCAACATAAATATAGCTATGAATGTAAAGAGAAAGTACCAAATGAGTTCATTGACCCTTTCACCCCTATGTAACTTCAGTAAACTCTTCCATGCATTGATTTGGATGAGTCCATTATGGTCTACAGTGGTGAAATGTTTAACAAGGAGTTATGAAACTTTCATCAAATTCAACTTTGATGTTCGTTTTATCAAACATTCAATTTATGTATATACGATAGCAAATTTTCTTAAAAAATCTAAAGAAATCATCAGCTTTGTTGTCAGAAATTTGTGATGTCATTTGATTATTTCTGGTGATGGCAAAATAAACGATTTATAATTCACACACGTACATTACACATTGAAAATGTATTATGTATATATGTTACACAACGGAAAATGTGGTGGCATTATTACCCTGTGCTGCGGGTGTATATTATAATATGATCATAGAAAATCTACAAATACAGGCCCAAGACTACTGTATCAGGGATATATACACACAGGATTACAGTGAGCCTGAGGACAGCTGTTGTACCTCCCAGCTTTGTTGGATCTCGAACCCTGATCAAACACTCAATTTGACCCATATATAACTGGCATATTACTGCCTTTATTACAGCATGCATGTCCCTTGATATATCTATAGTGTACTATGACTGTGAGAGACATTTTTGAACAAGATGTCAGCCCATCATAATCATTCATAATAACCACATATTGCAAGTGATCTTTTCAAGATGTGACACTCGACTGTGATTCACACTAAAACACCATCATAAAGCTTCAAATCTCAATTTTTCTACTTGCAACCATGCGGTTGATGTTCAGTGGTAGTGGCTGCTGTTTTGTTTAGATGCGAGAGAGAGAGGGTATTCTCATGAATTTCTCTCGATTCTGAGGAGATGAAAGGACAATAAATCTATCCCTTTTATCAAACTGATGTTAAGTTAAACCCTAATATCACAGCTGTGTCGGCCTGTCTAACACAAGATAATCTCCTATACTAATACCTACTTATCTATTAGTGCCTCACAATGGTCCCTCAGCCTCTGGACCTCACATAAACCTGAGAGGCTAAGTTCTTGGTGGTCAAAGTCATCCCAAGGTCAGGGGTATTTTTCTCGCCTTTATCTGATATCAGTGGAGAGAGAGAGAGAAGAGTGTAATAAGATAGATTAAACACAGATTAAACACAACTTCTGCATACCAAGCATTTTCTGGACAGTACAACTTTCCCCTCCGTAATGAGGGTGAATTGATCCTGACATTGGACATCAGCTAGGACACGACAAATATACTGTACATAGTCATTATATGTGAAGGGCAAAATTGACACCGGGCGAATATGGATCTTACATACTGGTGAAGGGCAAATATTTGACTGGGCAAAATATTCCTGGTAAACTGTATCTTTCCATAAGAACTGTTTGTTGAGGAAGGAATCCATAATCATATGTATGATCAAAATCTGCCACAGAGCGATATGCTTTTTAAAACTACTAAAGACTTTGAATATCAAAGTTTTATTTTCTACACAAACAATGTACTGCGCGTCGCAACATTTCAACACCGACTGGTCCCTGGTTGTCAAACTCTGAAGACTATTTTATACACAATCGTCTGCTATCATTGTTTTGCCTATTTTATTTCTCATGATCAACACATCTGATTAACTATTAAAATTGTATCTGCTGAACTTTATAGCCTGTTAATGGAGTAATGTTCAGGAATATTTTCTATCAGGGCTAATGAGAAGCTTGGTATGCGGGACTGTTTTATGGCTTCCAATCAAACATTTTGAACACCATGACCACCGTTTATCATTATTGAAACTATGCTTGCATGTGTCTTTCGATTAATAGAGTCAAGTAGAGTTCAGCATATCTCAAATCAGCAGAAATCAATCAATATACCCTACCGTCCCTGAGCGCCATGTAAAGTCCCTGAAGTGTATAGAACAGCTAGTCCACATTTCTACTCATGTTTAACATTCCAATCAGCATCCATTTTGTCCCTACATTGAATAATTGACCCTTGATTAATGGCCATTAGTTCACATATTTTGTATTTTCTATTTCCTATTAGGGTTTCTTTCGTTACAGACCTGAATACAGCCCTAGATAAGGTTCTTCTAAACATTGCCCATTTTATGTATGGTAGATTTTACTGTAATATGGTAATTAAGAGATGAAAGAGAAATGCTTATTTTAAATCATAGTTTAAAAGCATCTGTGGTACTTTCATCTGATTCTGAAGGACCAATTAAAGTCACATTTCAGAAGGAAAATATACATCTACTGTTTAAAACGAGACACTGAAAACAGTGGTACCTCAGAAGTTAAATGGTTACTGAGGCAGGTCTTGTTAAATGAGGTTCAAATCCCCTACTACAACACAAATAAACGAAATCTTGTTTAAACGAGGAGAAGCCAACCGAGAAGCCAACCGTATCTGCTGATAGACAAATATACAGTTCCTCTGATACAAATAAACAACATTGAGTTATGCTAAATGGGAGTGTTGAAATCATCTTCTATATAAATAAACACTTATAATATAGAATCACCTCCTACTGTACAGATATATAAATACAGTACGGAATCAAAATATAAATACTGTACGGGATCAAACCGTTCCAACAATAACGAGATACAAACACTTATAATATAGAATCACCTCCTACGGTACAGATATATAAATACAGTACGGAATCAAAATATAGATACAGTACGGGTTCAAACTGTTACAACAATAACGAGATACAAACACTTATAATATAGAATCACCTCCTACTGTACAGATATATAAATACAGTACGGAATCAAAATATAGATACAGTATGGGATCAAACCGTTACAACAATAACGAGATACAAACACTTACGCTACAGGAGCTTTCCTTGTTTCCCATTGTTAAAACCACCTCTCCATCAGCAGTGTACAACAACAACAGTAACAGACACAGGGAACACTAAACCACACATTGTTATGGTAATTAGTGAAACACCCCACAGACAGGTGCTCTAACTCTGGGTATAACTATACCATATATCTCCTCCAGCATCAGGCCCATCACCAACCCCACCTCATCCTTTACATCTATACCTCTGTAACAGCAGCAGTAACAACAGACAGCCCCCTACAAAGTCACTGGTTACCTGACATCAAAACTTCATTTTCAAAGTCAAACATCAGATAAATCTGCGTTTAGTTGTATCAACAACAGCAGTAGACCCTCTTTATATAAACAAGTAACCGACTTCTCTACACAAACTTTTAGGCTGTACTATGTAAGCAGAGCCAGAACAGGTGCTCCCCTTCCATACCCTCTGTGTCTTATGCTCGTTAGATTTCATAGAGCACATCATGAGAATTCTATACTCCACACCAACTGTGTATCAATATTGTCAGCTTAGCATCTCAAATAAATCAAAGTATCAGGTTTTCAAAGCTGTTCTTTGTCTCCATCTCTTGTCTAAAGTAGAATTAAATATACAAATCTGATCACATCAAGACTTTCACAGTTCTGAATTCACCTATCAGAGACATCAACAATTGCAGGCACCTGTCATGTATGTCCCCACGGATCACTTATCCACAATTCCTGATGACCCCCTACCTGTCTTGCTGGTCACTGGTCTGAATAGGTACAGAATCCACAACACTTATCATACACATGAATCAGTAATCTACAGATATTATATAACCCCCTACCACAGACCAATTCACTTCTGTCCTGCTGAAACAGGTTCATGTGGTCTAGATCAGTGCCATCCTCATCTTATCTAACAGGTATATCTGCTCCTGATCAGCATCAGAAGCCAGTTGAGATTAATTAGTACCCCTGTAATCTCTAACCCCTAATCTTTATCGCCCTTATACCATTCCCTTGACCAGTGGGAACAGATGGCACTGGAAACCCACTCTAGGGGATTCTTGTACCGCCTATGTGTGTTACTGATCACCAAAATACCACTTGGAGTACACATTATGATGAGCTTGGACTTAACCCTTTCACCCCTAGAAAACTTTAGTAGACTCTACCATACATTTATCTGGATGAGTCCATGATGGTCTATAGTGGTGACAGGATTAAGTTTCTGTTGTGACATTTAAAATATAGAGAGATTCAGACCAGATAATCGTTCAGCTGACGGAGCCTCTGTCAGGACTTTTACATTCATGATCTAACAACCTTAGTCAAAATTGCACATGTATGACAAAAAAATCCCCTTCCAGGTAACGACTTCTAGGAACAGATTGCCTTTATAAAGTTAAATTTAAAATTTTGTAGCCTGGAACAGACTATACAAAGGTGTATTATTTGTCAACTCGTAAAAATACTCCTGAGTAATTTTTGTGTGTGAATTTCATTGCTTTTGGCTCCTTAACTAAATTAAAACTGTTGTAAATAATGTAGTAAACAGGTATACAGTAGATTTATATCAGGTGCCTTGTTACTTGATAAGATATAGCCGAGATGTAAGTATATGCAGGCCAAGTGATAAAGTCTATGGTGACAATCTGACATCAGTCTACATCACACATGGTCTGGCCATGGGAAGCTGCATGTTTTCGGGCACCCTGCCCATTTGACAAAAACCTACACGTACACAATCTTACACGATTCATTAAGTCAGATGAAATCTGTTACCTATTATAGTCTGCTTTCCATGGGTTTGTGATTTACTGATCATCCTCGGGTAAATGTTACAGAGAAATATTAGCTAGAGATACATTAACAAATGAGGTCGGTCCAAAGCTAGAGGCTTAAACTGATAGAATTAAAGCCTGTTTTATAAATTTTACAGCATATGAGATTTTAATCTTTCAGGTTAAATAACTGCTCCCCAAGAAATATTCCTGTTGTGTAAATCACTGCTCCCTTAGAAACTATTCCTGTTGTGACATTCTGCTACCACTAGCCCTCCACCACTGGGTCGCGGGTTTGAGACCTACATTGGGCAGATGCCAGGTACTTGTTGTAGGTCGGTGGTTTTTCTCCGGGAATTCCGGCTTTCCTTCACCACCAAAACCTGGCACGCCCTTAAATGACCATAGCTGTTAATAGGACGTAAAACACAAATAAACCAAACCAAACCAAACCTATTGTGACAATAAATTACTGCTGCTCCTGATTTCTACCATTAAGATGCGTGTAGGGTGCCTGGCAGTGATCGGTTGACCATCAGGGATTCTGACAAGATAGACAACAGCTGATCAGGGGATAATTGAAATGGACACAGACTGGTCAATTAAGCTGGTCATCACTTTAGTCTAGGGCCACTTGACCTCAGCAGGAAGCCAGATGATTAGGAGGAAGAAGCACCACATATTGAAAGATTCATATCTTCCAGGAGCGTGACCCATGACCTCTGTAGCTTTGGAACTGAACCAGACTACAATGACAGAAAGATGGTCAGCATGCAGAGAATTTCTCTTCCTGGGTAATGATCCAACCTTGACCTTTTCTAATGGAGTTTTTGATGGAGAAAACAGAACCGCATTCTGCTTCAACATTAGTTTAAGATCTCAGTTTTAGTTGTTCTGGCCTTTATAACCCCAGAAAAACCAGCACTTTTTATCACCATTGATTCTAAAGGTATTTCCAAAGGAAAGAATCAGATTAATAATTAAAGAAACATTTTATCTATAATTTCCATGGTCTCCACAACACAATTGCTTCTCTTCTTAATCTTTCATTCTAAAATCAGCAATGGAGTAAAGTGAAATTGTTTGGACTTGGCCAAAACCCTGAACATGTCTCCTTAAAAAAGTGTTTCTTCAGGTAAAACTCTATTAAATTCAGTTATACTCAATGGCCATCTTGATTTTGAAAACAAATCATAGACAGCAGGTAAGTGTATTAAACTGGAATTTTCTGTTATTATAATGAGCCAGAAATATTGATATTTCCACCTCAAAAACGATACAGTATCCTTCAGTTGAATAAACAGAGTATATTGAACCTTTTCCCAGCAGGATATCCTTCATTATCATAACTACCAATTTCCCTGTTGATCCGAGATTGATTCATAAGAGAAAAATAACCAATAATTTGCATAATGAATGAAAAGTGATTTGGTGATGGAGCTAGTAAATATTGATCTAACCTCCCTTTTATCTAACCGTTACAGTGACAACATGCTTCACTTATCCTTATCATGCCTAGCAGATCGTTGGTGTATTACCGACTATATTCTAACAATGTCTAGTATATTACCGACTATATCCTAATCATGTCTAGTTGATTACCGTCTATATCCTAATCATGCCTAGTGTATTACCGACTATATTCTAACAATGTCATGGAATTGTATTGAATTCCACTTGTTTTAGTTGCGGTAAGCTCCTTACTATATTTATCCTGTAATAAGCCCATGCCTGGTAATAAGCCTGCCCATATCTATTGCAATTCAAAAGAAATGCCAGCAAATGTTATTTTGTTGCCCTATAATAAACCTTCCCTTCTTTGAAAACTTTGTCAGTTTGATTCAGTAAGTGCTACTGTTACAAACAGTTTTAACTCATTCACCACTGAAATCTCATAATGATCTATTCCAACCTTTGAATTGGAAGAGTTCAAATGTTATTTCAGGGGTGAATGAGTTAACGAGAAGTTGGGTGACAATACACTGGATACTTTACCTGTGTCAGGTGATATGCTAACATTACAAAATGTGTCAAATGACCAATCTGTAGAACACAACAACTAAAGGTAATACCAGAAACCGGAATGGATGCATCAAAGTGTTAATAGATTTGGTTGGTATGTTTCAAAACTGGAGGACAGTTTTGCCAGACCTGCATGTACTAACAAAAGGAAAATTGAAAGAAAGTGATGTTGATGATTTAGATGACAATTAATGAAAAAACTGAACAACCAATCTTCTTATCTAAAAAGTACACCCCATGAAGATCTAAAAAGTACACCCCATGAAGATCTAAAAAGAACACCCCATGAAGATCTAAAAAGTACACCCCATTAATCTAAAAAATACACCCCATGAAGCTCTTTGTAAATACAAATGGTACATATTTATCATAATCCATCATATTTCAAAAAGAAATTGTACATCTCACATCCTTCTTTTCTCATGTAAAATTTCTTGCATTAAAATTCCTGTTATTTTATCTTACCTACTCGGGTAATTCCAGCACAGCTGCATGATCACTCTCCTACACAGAATACACCAGACATATTCACCCAAACAATGATGTACTTCGTCCTACATATATGATTTAAGCGTTCAAATTATTCATAGTAAGTAACGTTATTGTGTAAACTGCATTCAATGTTAAGGAAGAGATGAGGAGATAGTGTTTGAATAAATTAAATTATTGAAAAGTGACTCGGTAGCATTAGCGCAAATCAATACCGAAGCATTGCTCTCACCTGTGTGTAGATTACATAATGAAAGGTATTTGGCCTACCTGGGTAATTTAATTGTAATCAATGCTTGTTATGTAAATATGGTGAAAGGCTGCTATGTGCTCTACTTATACGCCGCATACTAATTAATGAAAATCATTATCGTTTTGAAAACTGAAACCTGCATGACAATGATGTACATTTAAGTATCAATAAAATCGTTAAACTGTTTTGAATCCTGTATTATGAATAATGACTGCCCAGTTATGTAAGCAGTTTAGATGCCAAGCCATGTAGTAGGTACCCCTAGTGTTGCTGTTTTTGAATCCCAATACCTGTATATTTTGTTTTCCATTTTATAAATTATGAAAACTACACAGATTTCAATTAAACTATAGTATGTACCGTATATGTTGCATCATTTTTCGGCTGTAGCCAACCTACGACCATTATCCTGAATAGAATTATAAAGTTAATTAGATTGGAAATGACTTAATTACCAGGTATATTATTAAAATATTTTTTCAAAAAGTCAATATTGCTTGAAAATTTAAGTAAAACATTTTCTGTAAATCATGGGCCTACAACCTTTATGCAATACTTCAACCATAGAAAATAACTCAGCTCAATCCGTCTTAAAAACACCAATAACCCCACAATATATTCGTTCTTACTCACGATTGTAAAATGTGCATGCAGCTCCTATATCAAAGGTGCTTTTATAGATATCATGGAAACACATTGAT